GCTACAGGTATAGGGTTTAGGGTTTAGGGGTGTCTCTGAAATCACGCAGCCGCTCCGGAAAGAGTAACTGCAAATAAAGAGTAAGAGCTCACGAAACAAACCCCTATAGCGACCATTATAGCAATTCTATGCTTCAGGGGATCTAGAGCCATAAACCCTAAACCCTGAGCCCTAAACCCTAAACCCCTAAACCCTAAACCCCAAGCCCTACACCCTAAACCCTAAATCCGAATAACCCTGAACCCTAAAACCCTAAAGCCATATTGCCAGAATCAGCGGATGCATGGAAGCTTTCGGAGGTCCTCCGGAGGGTCTTCGTTTTGAGCCCCAAGAAACCAAAGGGTTGAAATTTAGGGCTTCTAGGGTTTAGGGGTTAGGGGTTTAGGGGTTTGGGGTTTTGGGGTTAGGGGTTTAGGGTGTCTAGGGTTTAGGGCTTCGGGTGGTCTTTTGGTTTAGAGCTTCGGGCACCAGCACATCGCAGGATAGCCCTTAATCAGAGCCCCGAACAATGCACATTATCTGGTGCCAAATGGCGACGTGCAAATTTTGCTCTAAAGCAAGCCTGGCCATGCAACTCCCAGACCCGCAACCCAAGATCCCTAGCCTCGTAATCAACAGACCATAAACCGAAGAGCGTCAACCCAAACCATGGAGCGTGAACGCTGTATGAACCGCGAACCCAAGCCCCAAACCTCAGAACCCTACATTATCAGGCTTACTGAGGTTACTTTTTTTTTTTTTTAACTTGGCTACTTCGGCCCGAACTCCTGAGAGAGTCTGAACCCTACTTATCTTATGCCGGCTCAGTAGCGTGTTTTTGGCCCAAAGGCCCCTTCCCATCTGAGCCCCTGGAGCCTGAGGATTCGGCTTGTTTCGGCTTTAGGGTTTAGGATTGCGGGTTTAGGGTTTGGGGTTTAGGAGTGCGGGGTTCGGGTTTAGGGTTTAGGGTTTAGGATTGCGGGTTTAGGGCTTAGGGTTTAGGATTGCAGGTTTAGGGCTCGGGGAGTGTAGGGATAGGGCTTGCGGGTTTAGGGTTTACTGGCTCAGGGCTTAGATTCAGGTCTTGCGGCTCCACGCAGGAGGAGGAGAATCGCCAGCGTGAGCCTTTGCTGGTGCTGCTTACAGGAGAGCGCGAAACAACCTCTAGTAAGCAATAATGTACCTGAGACCTGTTGTTATGATTATGATGATGATTATTAGTAGCACTATTCTGATTAGTATTCTTATTGGCTATGTCTTTGGATTTAAGCGATATGGCTCAACCAAGGGGTAGTCTGCTTTCTGGGAGTTCAGGATAAAGGGCGAGGGTTTGAAGGCAAGCACTTGGTCCAGTCGCTGCTTCTTCTCTGACTGCATCTGCTTGTTGTTGCTTGGCGTCGGGAACCCTAAGCCCCAAACCCTAAGCCCCAAACCCTAAGCCCCAAACCCTAAGCCCCAAACCCGAAGCCCCAAACCCTAAGCCCCAAACCCTAAGCCCCAAACCCTAAGCCCCAATAGCTGCAGGGTGGGTCTGGTGGTCATCGTCAGTCGAGGCTTGGGTTGCGAGGCAGGGCGGAGGTGTATGACTGCTTAGCATGCCTGCAATGCTTCCAACCGTTCTAAAGCCCTCAACCCTACCTTAACCTACCAAAACCTACTTTTTTTGTAGGGTCCCTAAAAACTCCATATTAGGATTCAGAATAAGAACCTACAAAAAAGTAGGTTTGGTAGGTTAAGGCAAACCCTACTGATCCAAAGCAACATACTAGAAGCCGGGGATCCTAGCCGGGACCCTCGCCCAGGTAGGGCCACTCGTATTCTCAGAGCGGCTGCCAAGGCGCGCTGGCTCCAGCAGGGAGAACTAGAGCAGAGCAGATATGGGGGGCGTAGAACGGTGTAGAGTGTACCCAGAGGCCCCATAGCAGTTCCTTTTTGGGATTACCTTATAGGATTCTAACTATGAACCCCAAAACGGAACTGCTTTAGGGCCCATGTGTAGACACTCAACACATACGCCAGTTTCGGCGAAGAACGCTGGGCGACGTAGTTCAGAGATCCTCTCGCTCGAGGTCGTAAATTGATTTTACTTGATGGCTTGTTGCCGAGTTGGGCTTCTTGTCCAAAGTGGTATGTGGTTCAGGGTAAACTCTACAGTGAGCTTAGTCTGCAAGTATAGGGCCTAGGGACCAGGTGTGGGGCATACAGCCTAAACCTTGAACCCTGAAGCCTATATACCTGTGTCAAAACCCTAACCCTTAAACTGTAGGTATACGAATGTCCGCCGAGGCAGGGCGAGCGTGTGGCGGTCTGTGGCATGACGCAGTTTGGGACGGAGGCGAACGGGGCTTCAGGCTCTAGGCGACTGTGACCATGAACAATACTGTCCTTTCTATCGTTGTTGTTATGGTGATGATGACGGTCATGATTGTTGCTTGTGGTTCTCTGACGGCGGCCCGTTCCTGCCTGTTCAGGTTTTTGTGATGACGCATGAATCCGGAAGGACCAATCCCGAAGCCAGTTCTGAATCTATGTTCGGAGTCTTATTCCGCTTATCCGGCTTTCAGGTCGGTTTTCCGATCTGAACCTTGGGCCTTACGACCCAGAGCCCATTTGGAACCCATCGCTCGTCAAACCAACCCTGAATCATGAATCTTTCAGTTCTAAACCCCGAATCCAAACTCTCAACTGGTATTGTGGAAGCCAGAAAGCTGGTACGTCATGAAGCCCATGCCCTGTCGGTAATCCCGGCATTAATGATTTTTGGAGATTGCTGTAGGTAGCTCCTCCAAACCCTGCCAAACCCCTTACGCAGACCCCCAAACCCTGAAGCCTAGCTCCTAGACCTAGATGCTTTTATTTCATTTTACTGCAGCCAGCTGCTTTTCCCCAACCCACGAAGTAGTAGCATCCGCAAGGATCCCGACAAGACTAAGATCGGGTTCCTGCGTTACCGTTAAGAGACCTGTACTTACCGTGTAACAAACCCTGTCAGACCTTCATGGGAGTTTCTGAAAATAAGGGGTACCTTATTTTGGGGTCCTTATAATAAGGATCCTACTATTTAAGGTACTATATTAGGATCCCCTAATTTCGGAAACCCCTTCATGACACCCTCTGAACTCCACCGAAGATGCCCAGAATATAGCCCTAAGCCCTCCCCTCCCTGAATCGCCTGAATCGCTTGAGTCGTTCCCCCCCATAAAACCCATAAACCCTAAAGAACCCTAAACCCTAAACCCTAAACCCTAAACCCTAAACCCAAACCCTAAACCCGAAACCCTAAAGCCTAAAGCCTAAAGCCTAAAGCCTAAAGCCTAAAGCCTAAAGCCTACCCGCCCTGCGCTGGTGAGCCAGGTCATTGGTCTGTCTGGCCTTGTGAGCCAGCCGAGGCTGAAGCTGTCCGTGTTAAGTCGCGTTACTTAAAGGATCATGGGACTTAGTAAGTATAGTTTAGGGTTTAGGGTTTAGGGTTTAGGGTACTTAAAGGATCATGGGACTTAGTAAGTAGGGTTATAATTAGGGTAACTATACTTGTAACCCCAATTAAGGGACTTATAACCTTACTTACTAAGTCCCATTATCCTCCAAGTAGGCTTGCTTAAAGGGGTTCCTTTAAACCTAAACCCTACACCCTAAACCCCAAAGACTTTAGCATGTGCTTTGTTTCCTAATGCTGCGGACGCCTAATGTAGGGCCTAAAGTGGTAGGATCCGTGCTGTTCCTTCACCCCACAGGAAGGGACTCCTGACACCTGGTGCTAAGAGGTTCGTCCAAACGTGAAACTTAGAATCATAGCTTGATCCCTTCTCAGGAGCTTTAACGAAGAACTCCGTGAAATTCACGTCTCGATCTTCGTGGTCATCGATCTCGTCGTCCTCGTTCAGACGTGCCGAATGCCACGTGAGATTGGTGACCCGGTTCAAGACAGACATGTACGACGTGGTCTTCCTTGCCCGCCGACTCGAACAAGTCTTCACGATCGTATCAAACCAGAACTGCTCCCAGGCCCGAACTCTTTTCATTGCGAGAGCATCGCAGGCCAAGAAGTCGACCTAAAACCCAACTGAACTCAAAACACAAACAACCATGCTTATTTTTTAGAAGTGCAAACATGAGCTGAGTTTCCAGCCGTGTGCCCGGTCGGCCTCTCCCAAACAGTTTTGAACCTGGTTCATTCATGCTTTTTCATTCGATCATGTACCTGCTACCTACTAGGCTCGCCGAAGTTGAGGTTCCTTCTTTCCGCTCCAACCCTATTTCCCAAGGATTGATCCATTAGATTTATATTTTGCAGGATGAGACAGAAGGGCAGTTGGTGTAGTGGTATCACACCCGCTCAGCATGCGGGAGGCCCCGGGCTCAATCCCCGGACTGTCCACTTTATTTGCCTTGTCAAACTGGCCTGACAGTCAATTCAAGGGATCGGGGCTCGTGGATTTGCACTGGAAAGGCTTTCACGCCCCCAAAAACGCTACGCTTTAGTTGCCTTCTCAAGTTGTTTTGGGGATGTAGGGCCCTTGTTATAACTGTGTTTCGGGGCTGGTGGAGGATGTGGGTTCATTCTCCTGCTTCCCCTTCCTGGTGCTGGGGTTCTTGTCACCTGTCCCAAACCGAATGTGCAGCCATACGGCGCAAAGCCCTCTGAACCCTGATTCAATCCTGTGATCCCAAAGCCATCCGCCCTAGTTTAGAGAATCCTCTAGCACACTGAGGAATGAGATAAAAGTTGTTGACCGGACAATGCGCGTGTTTGATTTCCCAACGGCTGTGGTTCGTTGTGAGGGGTGTCGGGTTGAGGTTTCAGGGTTGATGATGGTTCGAAAATCGTCTGCTGCATGAGTTAGGGACAGTTAGGGGATCTTTGCATGTAGCTTTTTGTCCGGCAGCTCCCATGCGTATCAGGAGTAGCAAGAGGAGTGCAACCAGCCACACACCAATTTCTGGGACTTTACCCCCGACCTGCTGACAGGCTAACCGATCATTGAGAAGCAGGTAGGCCACAAGATTGTGGAACTGTGTAGTTGATCTGTCTCGCAGTGGGCAATAGAGATACCCATACTATTTTGGGGGTCCTTATTATATTTAGTATAATGGGCCCCAAAATTCTGTTCTAGTTCGAGCAGTCGGCTCAGAAGGGCTGAACGGAGGAAGGTGAGCGAGTGGTCGCAACAGCGACTGCACAGTTTTCCTTCCGATCAATCAAACGCAGTGGGGCTCGAAGCTGGTTACCAAAACAGCCCACTCCAGTTGAAACCTCAACTCATACGTGTTTTGGCTTCACTCATCGGCGTGCACTTACACACTCGCACGCCGTGCCATTGTCCACTTTGCATCGAAGAACCCAACTAAACTGGGCAAGACTGTTTAACAACTTCCAAGCAGCACACAGACCAACCAGCAACACCTACATCGCACCATGGACGGTCTGTTCGTGGATGCATTGACGCCCATGGGGCCTGCATACACCTTCTGGGACTTGCACCGTATGTTGGCCGATTGCTATTCGGCGGATGTGGCGGAGCAGAGGTGGCAGAGCCTTAGTGCTGTCTTTTAGCACGTCCCACAAAAGGGCTTAAAATGAAGGGCCAACCATACGACCTGCGGGCAGACTATTGGGATACGTTTGATTTATCCCCAGACCAGCGCCCAAAGGGTCCTAAGTACCTATATGTTAGAATGTAGGGTTTCTGTAATATGAACTTCTATTATGGTTTGGGCAAGTATCCCCCATATAGGTACTTAGGAATCTTTGTGGCAGTAAGGCCAGAGCATTCGAGATCCCGACACTACAATCGGCAGGCAACGGCCGGACAAGACGCCCTTGGAGTCAGATTCGCGGACCTTCCACCCAGGCGAGACCTTTCTCGTCGCTCCAGCCATAGCCATCACAGCCATCACAGCCATCACAGCCATCACAGCCATCATAGCCATCATAGCCATCATAGCCAGGAAAGGGCTCCACCCATGGATTGCCATCCCAATCCTCCCGAGGAGGCTTGTAGTACGCTGGCAAGGCTCCAGAAGGGAAGAACAAAGGACTCCTTGCACAATCTGCTGAACCTACATGGATTCGAGGCCGATTCAAAGGAGTCAGAGGAGATTGATATGACCAACTTCCAGCTCAAGGCTCACGCATGTTGGCAATCGGATGTGCAACTCAAGAAAGCCGGGACGACGACGCAGCGATCGAGGAAATCTGCCAGCGTGTCGGTGCTGAGCAGCAATGCGTCGATGCACATCAGCTCTCCAGTGGCAGGGGGCGACATGGAACCGACTGCCAGGTCGAGACTGAGCAGCAGAGTAAGTTACATGTGTTGCCTTTTTAAAAGGGGAACCACAGTTAGTTTCTTGAGGACGCGGACAAGCAAGGAGTTTCATGTTTCATCCAAGTGGCACATTACGATCCTGCTGGAATGTCTGGATAGGCATCTTGGTTCTGTATGATCTCCTGGTCATTCCACTGCTTGTCTTCACGCTGCCTCCATGGGTAAACAACTTCCTGGGCCTGCGATCCCTGCAGCTCTTCTGGATTGCAGACTTTGTCATAGCGTTCTTCACTGGTTACTACAGCCGGGGTCTTCTGGTGCTTGCTCCTTGGCCGAAATTTCCTGCGAATTTGCGTCAAGTGTGGGACTTTCGGCGCAAGCTTCAACGCAGGAAGAACCATGATAGCACGATATACCCTAAACCCTAAACCCAAGCTCTGGATCACTGAACCCCACAAAGCCCTTCATAGCAAAGTTGCATGATTGTCGGAATCCCAAATCTCAAGGAAGCAGCAGAAAGACCTCCTCCTACGTCTCTCTCTCTGTCTCTCTCTCTCTCTCTCTCTCTCGATCGCTGTACATACATCTACAGATATGTCTGTATGTATAATGTACGTACCTAAACATTGCAAATCATATTCCTAGATAAATACATATATATATATATACATATATATATATATATATATGTATATATATATATATGCAAACATACGGATATGTAGAGTTATCTATATATATATAGACATGTATGTATATATATATATATGTATGTATGTATGTATGTATGTATGTATGTATGTATGTATGTATATATATATATATATACAGGGAGAGAAAGAGAAGTGAAGCGTGCTCATTCTTAGCAAGGTGAAAGGCGTGAAAGCCTGACCCTCCCCTCTACCGTCTTATAATATAGAAGCCTAGATCTTATCCCCTAGGTTTCCTTATTAAAAAGGTACCGAAAGGAGCCGGAAACCCTAGTCCGACTATTGAGGGCCCGTACACGAGGGGTGTCAAGGGTGTTTCGGTATGCTATATTACCATCGTTTTGGGACGGTTTGTTGATTCGTCTATATGAGTATGACTAGTATTGCTATTAGTGTTACTCGTCTTCTTGGTTTTGCTATAGTCATTGGGATTGTTATTCTTCTTATAGTTTGTCTTATCATTATTATTGATAGTGTCATCACCTTTCATTCCTCTAACTCCAGCGGCTACAGGATCGATGCAAAGTCGCCCAGCAGTATGCCCGAACTTGGATGTGCTTCGATCTTGGTCTGCTCTGTGTCGACCCTTGGGCATCAGACATGAGAGCCTCCTGGGGTATAGCTGGTTTAGGCATGTGGGGTTTGGGGCCTTAGGGTTCAGGTTTGGGATTTAGGGTTTAGGGTTTAGGGTTTAGGGTTTAGGGTTCAGGTTTGGGGTTTAGGGTTTAGGGTTTAGGGTTCAGGTTTGGGGTTTAGGGTTTAGGGCGCATTGATTTGCTGAGCTTTTGTCGGTTGTGCTGGCAGCAGGTCGACTGGTTTTAGCGGTAGTCGTCTTTGTCGATTTAGGTAGAAACAGCAAGAGGAAGCGCACAAGAATTGAAATGGTGGTCTTGCAGCGGCGGCGGTGGGAAGACCAATCTCAGACATTAGAGATCTACCTTCGTCAAGAAGTCTGGTATGAGGGAGCCCTCAACTTTAAACCCTAAGCCCCGGACCCTAGACCCCAAGCCTTAAACCCTCAAATCCTCAACCTGAAACCCAAAAGGCCCTGATCCCTTAAACCCCCTAAACCCTAAACCCGAAATATCCTCTAAACCCCTAAGCCCTAAACCCGAAATATCCCCTAAACCCCTAAACCCTAAACCCGAAATAGCGAATCCCCGAGCTGAGGACTGGTTCATCAACATCCTCGATCTATCCACGGCCGAGAGCCCCGAGACTTGGAGCCAGACGGTGCGCATGCTACGCCTCCTTCGGCTCCCCAGACCCTATGGGGTTTAGGGTTCAGGGTTTAGGGTTTAGGGCCGTTAGGGTTTAGGGCTTAATGTTGCAAGGGTTTAGGATTTCGGGGCCGAGGGTTCTGTGGCGCATGTATGGTTTATGCTAGTATGGAGGTTTAGGGTCTAGGGATCTAGGAGTCTAAGGGGGGTTAAGGTTTAGGGATAAAGGGTGCTGAGCAGCGTTGATGCCGTTGAGGGTATGCCTTGTGTCGTGTAGTTTGGGATTCCGGGTATTGTACGGCTGTCCTTGGCATTGGCATCGGGATTGGCGTAGGGACGAGACTTTGGCTAAGGTCGTCATTAGCCGTGGAGGTTGACAGTTAATGTTGTCCTCGGTAGTAGCTGCTCATTCCTTTGGGCATTAAAGCTGTTTGGGGCTTTGTCTGCAGCGTGTTTCAGACTAAGTTTCCCGACTTTGGACGGGTGTTTCGGGCTTTCAGGCTTCAGGAAGTATGTTCATGCATGCAGAATCTCTGACTCAGATATTTCGTTTAAGCCTTAAACCCCCAGAACCGTTCAGGTAAGCTCTACCCATAGGCCCTAAAGTAGTTCCTTTTTTGGGGTCATATTTAGAATCCGATTAGGGAATCCCAAACAGGAACTACTATGGGGCCTATGGGTAAACCCAAAGCCATCTCAGGCTCCTGCGGATCCTCCGCGCAGTCAAGCTGCGCCGGGGGTTTCTAGCTGTTCAAGACTTGCTCCACTCCCAGGCAACAGTGGCAGTTGAGGGTTTAGGGTTTAGGGTGTAGGCAACCCCTAACCCTCCAGGTACCTACTATATAGGGCCCTAGGAGCTCTAGTACCCTATACAGTAGGTACCTGGGGAGGGAACAGTGGCAGAGGTTTGGGTGCGCGGTTTGTGGCGCAGGGTCCTTCGAAAGGGCTACAGGGGTTCGATTCGGATCAACCTGTCGAAGCCGGAACAATGAGTCATGATAGTCCTAGGCTTCCTGATTATGCCCACATATGTTGTACCCCCTAAACTCTAAACCCTAAACCCTAAGCCCTAAGCCCTAAACCCTAAACCCTAAACCCTAAACCCTAAACCCTAAACCCAATTCCAGCTCTTTGAGGCCCCTGAGTTGCCCCGAGTTTCTTCCGGGCTCGCAGGCGGCGAGCCTCTATCTGAGCTTCTTCTTCAGCTTCTTTGAGCTTCTGATACTCAACCACTGGGTGGCTACGTTCCCCAGTAGTACCCTTTTGGGTT